GGGATAAAGAGGACCATTGTGGTGGGATGCAGGTGCCAGGGTGGTGGGATGGAAATGCCCATGGTGGTGAGATTGGAATGGTCATGGTGTTGGGATGGAGATGTCCATGGAGATGGGATGGAGACATCCATAGCAGTGGGCTGGAGATGCCCAAGGCAGTGGGATGGAGATTCCCAAGGCAGTGGGATTGTGTTGGGATGGAGACACCTACTGCAGTGGGATGGAGATGCCCATGGTGGTGAGATTGGGATGCTCGTGGAAGTGAGATGAAGATGCCCATGAAAGCTGGATGAAGATTCCCATGGAGTTGGGATGGAAATGTCCAAGACTGTGAGATGAAGATGTCCATGGTGTTGGGATGTATACACCCAAGGCAGTGGTTTGGAGATGCCAAGGCTGTGTGACTGAGATGCCCAAGGCGGTGGGATGCCCATGCCCAGGGCAGCAGGATGGATATTCCCAGGGCAGCGGGATGGATATTCCCAGGGCAGCAGGATGGATATTCCCAGGGCAGCAGGATGGATATTCCCAGGGCAGCGGGATGGATATTCCCAGGGCAGTGGGATGGATATTCCCAAGGCAGTGGGATGCCCATGCCCAGGGCGGTGGGATGCCCATGCCCAGGGCAGCGGGATGGATATTCCCAGGGCGGTGGGATGGATATTCCCAGGGCAGCGGGATGGATATTCCCAGGGCGGTGGGATGCCCATGCCCAGGGCAGCGGGATGGATATTCCCAAGGCAGTGGGATGCCCATGCCCAGGGCGGTGGGATGGATATTCCCAGGGCGGTGGGATGGATATTCCCAAGGTGGTGGGATGCCCATGCCCAGGGCAGTGGGATGCCCATGCCCAGGGCGGTGGGATGCCCATGCCCAGGGCGGTGGGATGCCCATGCCCAAGGCAGCGGGATGGATATTCCCAAGGCGGTGGGATGCCCATGCCCAGGGCGGTGGGATGCCCATGCCCAAGGCGGTGGGATGGATATTCCCAGGGCAGCGGGATGGATATTCCCAAGGCGGTGGGATGCCCATGCCCAGGGCAGCGGGATGGATATTCCCAAGGCGGTGGGATGCCCATGCCAAGGGCGGTGGGATGGATATTCCCAGGGCAGCGGGATGCCCATGCCCAGGGCAGCAGGATGGATATTCCCAAGGCGATGGGATGGATATTCCCAGGGCAGAGGGATGCCCATGCCCAAGGCGGTGGGTGGGATGCCCATGCCCAGGGCAGAGGGATGCCCACTCCCCGCGGTCCCAGAACGAGAGGTGGCGCTGGCAGACTGCCGCGGACACCGCCGCGTTATCGGCTCGGCAGCAGCGCACAGAGCCGGGGCGGGCGCGGTTTTATCTTATCGCGGCGCACTCCGGTAGATGACGCTTTCCCAGCCGCTAATCTTGGGTCTGTTCCGAGTCCCTGAGGAGCCAGGGGAGCCGCTAGGCTTGGGAGCACCCCCAACATGCGGACCTCAACTTCCAGGTCTGAAGGCCACGGTCAAAGGCAGCTCTAATTCAATTAAATGAGAGAAGTGGATTTTCCTGTAAAGAAAACATGATTGCTTTGTGGGACGGGAGGCCTGAGGGGCAAAGAGAAGGTGAAGAGTGCTGCCTGTGCCCAGCAGAAAATGCAGATTATTTCCTGGCCCATCTTGACCCAGTTTTTTTCTCCTTTGGGGTGTGCAGGATGCAGAGGTTTATGGAGGGGCAGAGCTCAGAGTTCTGGGACATCAGGAGTCACTTTTGGCCGGGTGTGTTGCACAACACCCGGGGCTTTCACAGCCACGTCTGTGGTGAGCTTGCTGAAAACCCACTTTTTTCAGAGAAAAACCAAAAAACTCTACCCTGCTGTCAGGCCTGTGTGATAAACAGGTAGCTGCAGGTAAAACCCAGCTCGGCATGCTCAGGCTCCCTTTCCTCAACACCTTCAGTGGTTCTGACACAGATGAGTCACTGGAAATCCCCTGTCTGGAGACACTTCTGCTCATCCTCTGAGGCTCCTTTCTCAAGCACCATTTGATGCCACTTTGAGAGTCACACCACAGAGTCCTTGCGTCACTTTTCCTGCACCAAAATGCTCGAAAGATTGGGGAACAAGGGGAAGAAAGGTAAAGAGGGCATCTATTTTAGGCAGGGCAGGTTTGCAGAGAGCCCATCTTCCAGAAAATGTCATTAACACTTTCCTGGTTTGGATATGAATTTCCCAGGCTGTGTTTGCAGTCAGGAGTTGCTGATATCTTTCCTCAGGAGCCAGCTTGGGAGAAAGTGGTGGATGCATTTTACGTGGGCATCTGGACAGGGTTAAAATCCCTGTGCTTCCCAAAAGTTTGGAAGAGATCAGAAGCTGAGCTGGAAACAGGAGTCTCACAGGGCAATAACAGATGGAGAGGGGAAAGTCTGGGGTCTCCTGGTGCTGGGCATGCCATGGAAAAACACAGCTCCTTGAGAAGGTGCATTTCCAGAAAAAGGTGCATCTCCTCTGCTGTGATCAACAGGGTCCAGCAGATTAAATCCATCAGTGACAAATCCATTCTAGATTCGAGTCTGGATTCTCACTGTTGATGGATAAAAGTTAAGGTACCAGAGGTGCATTTTGGACATGGGGAAACAGAAAGGGCAAAATTGTGAATCCACATGTCTGTGTTGGAAATAGCTGGAAATGAGTGCTCCTGTGCTGCAAAGGTCTTGGGGGATGTTCAAGTTGGAGGAGATTTGGGGAAAGCAGCAGCACATTCAGGGGGTGTACGAGGCAGAAATCCCAAATGCTGTTGGTGCCACACACAGAGAAGCAGACAACGAGTCAAGAAACCCCCTGAACATAAGGAAAATGCAGCCCCCAACATCCAGATAGACATAGGGAGGAAAATTCCCGTGGCAGAGTCAGGTTAGAGCTCTGGGGGGTTGATTTGCACCCCTTGTGCTTTTTGGTTTTTTTTTTTTGACCCAGCAGAGGTTCTGTGAACAGAGACCCAGCTCCAAGAGATTTCTGCTACAACCCCTGGAGCTCCTTCTGGAAGAGCCAGGAGGGCTGTCCTGGACCCTTGGGATGTGTCTTGGGTGGGAGGGCAGAGCAATTCCCAGGCACAGGGTTTGGATCATTAGTTAGGGATGGCAGGCACCTGATAAATTTTTCCATCCCCCTGTGGTGATTGAGGATCCTGGATGGGCTCATTAAAGGACGCAGGAGAAGGTGGAGGAATCCTTGGGGAGAGGAGCAGCAAAGGGGCCACACTTTGAGAAGAAAAAGAGACCAAAATGTTGTCCTGCAGTGATAAATTCAGCTTCAGGACAGACGTTAGAGGGAACTGTGGACTCTCCTTCCCCAGGCTCAGCCTAATGGGTACAAATCTGCCAATTAGGGACCAATTAAGGTTCATCTTTAAATCCATTCTCCCTGCTCAGCAAAGCCCTGGCACGCAGTTAACAATCAGCAATAGGTCAAGGTCCTTGTCCCTTTCATCTGAGGATCTCACAGCCCTTGATGAGGCTCGGCTGCCTTTCACTGTGGTAGGTAAAGGCTGTAATGTTATTTTAATATCATGAGCCTCATTTATAAGGATAAATTACAGTGGAAGATAAAGAGCACATGGACCCATGTGGATAAAAATAAAAGTCCATATTGCCCCATTATCTGGCATTGGTTAAGCTTCTGCTTGTCAAAGTTTTTTTGGCTAATTTCTCTCCTTTATTTTTTTAATGAAAAGCTATTTATTTATAGCTAAACGCCAACTTTGAAGCCCGAGCCAAGCATTTGGGAGCTGCTCCGATAGGGCCCTTGAAAAGGAGAATTATGTGCGTTTCAGATGTTTCCAGAAGTTATTGTTTCAAGGCAGCGAGGACTGTGACATTTCTCCCAAGGAGCTCTCCCTCCCCTCAGCGGTTCCAGAGGACACGGGCAGAGCAGATGTCTCCGAGCTGGGAGAAGGGGTGGTGACAAGTGTGTGGGGGGGAACGGCACCGGGGAGGGGAGCAGATGAAAGGGGAATTTAGGCAGGAAAAGCCCTGAAGGTCCAGGGTTGAGGAAAGTGCTCCGTGATGCCCCACACGAGCCTCGTGCTGCTGCTCACCAGGGTGTGGGACATGAACGTGGAGACCATCGCTGAATCCTGGAATGCTGTGGGATGGAGGGGACCTTAAAGACCTCCCCATTCCAGGGGCAGGGACATCTTCCACTATCCCAGCTTTCTCCAAGCCCCATCCAGCCTGGCCTTGGACATTTCCAGGGATGGAGCAGCCACAGCTTCTCTGGGAAGCGTGGTCAAGGGTCCTTCAACACTGATACCATTGTGGGCTTCCAGCTGAAGAGTTTTCTGCCATGGAGTTCGCACCAGGACAAGGCACAGAGGGTCCTCTGGCACCTCTGCTGGGCTGTGTTACATTCCCAGAGGATTTTTTGCTGTATTTGGATGCTTCCCCTGGCAATGGAAACGTTTCCTACACTTCTCCCAGGGGAGCACTCAAGGCTTCAAGCAAAACCCTGTCAGCTGCAAGGGGTTGGACTAGAAGACCTTCAGAGGTCCCTTCCCACCCAACCTATCCCATGAATCTGATAATCCAAAACTGATCCCAGCACACCCATTCCAGGGAAAGCTGAGGCTTCACTGGGAGCTGATTCCCACCCCGGTGCATGGGATTGTCCCACCTCAGAGCCCTCTGTGCTTGCAGGCACCCACAGGGAGGCTGTTCCTGGCCCTTCTCCAGCTGTGAGCCCCCCTGGATGGCCATGGGAGATGTTTTGCAAGGAACAGACGGATTTCCACGGAGAGACAAGGGGATCATGGAAACCCCAACTTTCCTGCAGCTCCTGCTTTGGTGGCAGAGTGACATCATCCCCTCCCGACTGGCAGCAAACAGAGGGGCTTTGATGGCCTGGAGGGGACTCTGGCCAGTGCCCAGGGTGATGGTGAGGGGCACCCTCAGTGCTCGCAATTCCTGCGGGATGATGTCACAGGCACAGCCCGGGGCTCCATCCCAGGGAACAGCGGTTAGGGAGGGAGGGGAGAGGGGGCGAGCAGCAGGATCATCCCCCAGCAATGTGTGAGGAGCAGCTTGGACAGACTCCTGGGAAATGAGGAGTTGTGTTGCCTCTTTATGGATTCTCCGTTCCTAACTTATTGTCCACTGCCCCTACAAGAATGAAACCAGATCCCATGGCAAAAGCTTTAGAGAAGAGCAACCCTTTCAACAACTAAATCCTTCAGAGGTACAGGAAAAAAAAGATGTTGGCTTTTGGGCAAAGGTTTTGTCCCCAGAGGTGCTGGCACTGCCCAGGCTCCCCAGAGCCCCGAGGCTGCCAGAGCTCCAGGAGAGTTTGGGATGCCCAGGGTCTGGGCCTGGTGTGGTGATCCCTGTGGATCCACCTCAGGATATTCTGTGTTTCTGTGATCCTGTATTTGCAGCGTTTTCCCCCAGCTCCACTGATTTGGGGTTTTTGGGAGCCTGGGTCTGGAGCTTGGCAGCTCAGGCTCTGTGATCCATCAAGACTGGATCCACCGATCACTGCCCCAGGAAATGCCATTTCCTTGGGATTTCTGCAGGATCACGTCAACCTTGGGCCAAAACTGGTCCAGAGTTTCTGTAATATTGCACCTGATATCATCCTATTCCCTGTGCCAATCTTCCTGTAAGTGGTCCCTACTCATTTAGGGCAAGGACACCACCCCAGTGCTCCATCCCTGGAGCACCTTTCCCCAGCCTGCTCCTGGCACAGAAATGCCAACTCTGGATTTGCCATGAGCTTTAGAGCCCAGCCTAGGAGGGGAGCAGTGTGCTGGGCACACAGGAGTGCCTCGGAGTTGATTTAAGGTGTTCCAGCCAGGAATCCACTCCAGGAGCCCACCTGGCTCTGCAGCTGATTTCCAGAGTGGGAGGGGGAAGGCAGAGCTCTTCCATGACAAGTCCTTCTCCAGCCCCTCTTTGGAGCAGGAGAGATACCTGGGCTCAGCAGCCTGTCCTGGCTCTGTTCCCATCCTCTGGCAGGGTCAGGATCCTTCAGGTCCTACCTGAGAACCCCCCTGGAGATGTCAGAGCAGCATCAGCCTTGCTGTTACCTGCAGCACCCCAAATTCCACTTCCCAGCACTTACAAGTTAGATCAGAGTCCCTGACAAGCAAGAAACTCTCTCCTAAAAAATGGAACACTTCCTTTTAGCCCCTCCTGGAAGCACTTCTGCTCCCAAGTCTTCCTTACAGAGGGAAAGGGCATTTTCTGCCTTATTCTGAAGCCCCTTTGTGCTGGGAGAGCTGGGGGTGCTCATCTGGAGAGGAGAAGCTCCAGGGAGAGCTCAGAGCTCTGCCAGGGCCTGAAGGGGTTCCAGGAGAGCTGGAGAGGGACTGGGGACAAGGGATGGAGGGACAGGACACAGGGAATGGCTCCCACTGCCAGAGGGCAGGGATGGGTGGGATATTGGGAATTGGGAATTGTTCCCTGTGAGGGTGGGCAGGTCCTGGCACAGGGTGCCAGAGCAGCTGTGGTGCCCCTGGATCCCTGGCAGTGCCCAAGGCCAGGCTGGACAGGGCTTGGAGCAGCCTGGGACAGTGGAAGGTATCCCTGCCCAAGGTAGGGAGGTGGAACTGGTTGAGCTTTAAGTTCCCTTCCAACTCAAACCATTCCATGATTCCCTGGTTCTGTGCAGACCCAAACCACCCATTGCCAGCCCCTGCAAAGATGGTGCTCAGCATCCTTCTCATGGGTGCCAGAAGTACTGATGGATACAGGGATGCTTTTAGTTTTTGCAACACCACAGGGGTTTTCCTAAAGTTTCCAATGTGGAGTTGCGCTGCTTGTAAACAGCTGAGTCAGCAAAACACACCAAAATCCCATCTTTTCATCCCAGAGCCGTGATGCTGCCATGGGCAAGGGGAGGAATAGAGGAGCCCAGGCCTGTTTGAAGTGCAGATCCCAGCTCCCCCTTCATTTCAGAACCACCAGCAATGTGTCCATGAGCCAGAGGTCTCCCATTGCCCCCTGGAAATCTGAAAGCCATCAGCACGCTGGGGAAAGGGAGGAAAAGGAAAATGTGTTTGCCAGTTGCAGCAGATGTGAGGGCAGTGTCCTGGACAGCTTTTATTATTCTATAAATATCGGGGGCAGGAGGTTGTTATTAACCACTAGTAATTAATACAACGTGCACTGTCCAATTAATGGCATCCTGCCCTCCTGTGCACGTGGGGAATTCCCAGATGTGGCACAAAGCCGGCAGAAATGGGGATCAGGCAGGAGCATCCCTGAATCCAGCCCTCTGAGAGGGGAGGATGAGCTGATCAGAAAACAGATGATGGTGAATGCTGCAGACATCAAAGCTGGCATGAGCACATCCCTGCACATCTTCCAGGGGCTTGCAGGGAATGCCGGCTGCCAGCCCCATGGGAAGGTGACAGAGGGAACAAATCCCAGAGCTGCATTGCTCCCTGCATGTTAATGAGCACAGCAGAGAGCTTCAGACCATCTGCACACCCGGGGATGCTGCCTGGCTCTGAGGAAACCCTGCCCTGTGCAGCACAAATGTCTGGCCAACTCCTCTGGATGCTGCTGGAAAAGCCTGGAGGACTTTTCATTAATGGATGCTCTTGCTCCTCTTCCAGAAATGTCTGAGGCTGGATGTTTGACACTCTGGGAGGTCGGGGCTGATGGAACTCCAAAGCAAGCCAAGGAGATATTTGGGGTGTGAAGGTGGACGGGTCATGCTGAGCCCCTGGGAGCTGGATTACTGCAGGGGAACAGGCACCTTCTGGTGCCTGAAGGGAAAGAAGCTCAAATGTGCTGTGGTGGGAAAATGGGAGAGTATCTGGTGCTGGTGTGGGAAATCAGGAGCTTTCAGAACTGGCTGTGTGGACCAGGACCAATTTTCTCCATGCTGGGTTTGCCCACAGCAGCGAGGATGGGACTTGGCACAGACCCTGCCTGGTTGTAACTCTGAGCTGCCAGGACCAAAGAAATTATTTCAGGAAAGCTGGGAGTCATTTTCCACTGCAGCCACTTAATGCCAGGGCACCGAGCCCTGGGAGCCCTGGCAGCACTGCCAGTGCCCTCGAGGAATTTGCTCCTCTGCTCATTGATGGAAGTCCCTAAGAACATCCCCTGAGGTGACTTGACAGTGGTGACCCTCAGTTTACCTCCTGAGCTGGGTTTGTGAGCCCAAATCCTTCCCTGAGCAGCCAGGAGCATCCCTCAGGGACAGCAGAGCAAGCAAGGTGGGAGTGCTCAGAACAAGCAAAAAGCAGCCCTGCTCTGGCTGCTGCTTTCCAACTCGATTGCCAATGCATGGGAGCCAACAAATGGCTAATAAATGGCCAATAAGTGATCAAACTGACTGTGGGAAGGGACCAGCTCTGCTCCCTCAGTCTCTTCCCTGACCCTCCTGGGTGTTCCTGGATGGAGGGGGGACCCCCGAGCACCAGGAGCACTTGGAAACCTCTCCCCTCATCATCACTGACAAGCCCAGGGTTTGTAACTCTGTAAAAGTTCTTGTTTGGATTCCCAGCAGCAAATTTTGGCCAAGTCCTTTGAGATGGCTCCCTGAGGGATGCTCGTGGTGGGATGGAGAAGCCAGGCCTGGGTATGTGCCTGGTATTACCCTCTTTAGGCTTGGCCTGAAGTGCAAATGCATCCCTGAAGCTGGTGACTTGAAATTCAGTCCTGAGGTCGTTATCCAAGCCTCTTTCCTGAGCAACCTCCCACTTACAGCTCCACCTTCTCCTTCCCCAGACGCTGTGTTTGCAAGCTCAGCTCAGGCTGATTTAACACCAGCTGAGAGCAAGGGAGGAGCACAGGGGGCTGAGCAAAGGGGTTATAAATAAACCCCCTCCCCTTGGAGGCACAAATCCCACACACAGCCCGTGGCTGAGCTTCCCATGGCCACGGGGTTTTGGCTGCAGGCTCCTGGTGCTGAGGTGTGAGGGAGAATGAGCTGCACCACGAGTGCCTCCAGTGATTTACTTTATTGCCTGTGTGCAAAAGAGTCTTGGCACTCCGAGGGGAGGCTGCTGCCAGCTCCAGGCCAGCCGGGCTTTCCCTGGTGGAAAATGAAATGGATGAACGGGAACATTTTTCCCTAATAGCAGAGTGAGGGAAGGAAATGATCCGCCTTGAACATCCATCTCTAATTCCCTGACCTTGGAGCAGTCTGGCAGCTGGGCCTGGGATGAGAAGAGCTGATAAACCCCCTGGCCAAGCCCTTGTTCCCAGTTCCATCTGGGCTATCCTTGCATCCCCTCAAAGCCACCAAGGGCCATTTCCAAACCATTCCCATGTCCTGCACTGAGGCCACCAAGTGATTCCACCTGCCTCAACCACCTGGGGTGGGAGGAGGATGAAGCCCCTCCTGTGATCCATGTGCTGAAGAATTCCTGGCATCTTTCCTGCCCCTCTGGGCACCCAACCCAACCCAGCTCATCTCAACCCAATTCAATTCAATTCAACTCAAACCAACCCAACCCAGCTCAACTCAACCCAACCCAACCCAACCCAGCTCAACTCAACTCAACTCAACCCAACTCAACTCAACTCAACCCAACTCAACTCAATTCAGCTGAACTCAACTCAACCCAACTCAACCCAACCCAACTCAACCCAACTCAAAGTTTTGGGTCTCCTGAAGGCTTTAACTCTGAACCTGAAACTCCCAAAGCTCCCAAATGCATAAAATCTGTCAGAAAAGACCATCTGGGTCACCCAGGAGTGGCAGACTAGTGTTCAAACCCAGGCACAAAAGGTGTGCATAGGAAAATATCCATGTGTGGGGAGGGAAATATCCATGCCAGGTCTTCGCCACAAAAATCTGAGGTGTCAGCCCTGTCTAGGCTGTTCCTCAGCAGATGCTTTCAGAATTTTCTGGTTCTTCTCCTCCTCTTGGTTAAAGACTCCAAGCTGTTAACCATGTCCTGAGGTATTCCCTACACAGGCAAACTGAGGTGTGTAGGGACAAAAGGCTGCTGGAAATTGGGATTTATCCATCTCAGCTGAGGATCTCAAGGAAACTGAGGGGTTTCCAAGGCTTTGGGGGAATTGTTTTGCTTCTTGTTTCTGTTTGCCCAGGATTTCTGGTGAGGAGGTTTCAGTCCAGACCTGGGAGATCCTGGGCTGAGAGATAATTAATAGATAATTAATCGATAATTCATATCCTCTTTGATATTCAGCCTCATCTCATGTCCCTGAGCTTACCAAAGGGCCATTTTTCCCCCTGCAAAGCAGAGTGGGGCTCTGCTGTGTGCCCTTCCCTGCCTCTCCTCTATCTCAGATGACATTTCCTCAAGGATAGAGGGACAAATCCTGCAAATTCCATGCAGGAGAGCAGGATCCAGCCCTCAGTGCCAAGAACCAGCACGGAGACAGCTCCAGGATGGCATTCCCAGCCCTTACCAACCTGCAGCTCCCAGCGTGGAGCCTCCTGGCACCACTGCACTCCAGGACTCTGGCATGGTGCTCTCCTGGGCCGGGCTCCAGGGAGAGCTTCCCCTGCTCCTCTCCTGGCAGGGCTGGTCCGTGTCCATGGCCAGGGCTGGGAGCTGCAGAAGGACCCGGAGCGGGCCTGGGAGGAGGATGGAGCTGGGATGTGCTGGGGTTATCTCTTTAACAGGTTTCTCCTGTCCCTGAACATATGTGCAGGAACACATCCCTGGAAAAATATGTGAGTGGGTGAGCTTGGCCCCGGCTCCCTCCCAGATGGGACATTCCTGAGCCCACATCACAAAGCCATCAGCCGGGCTTTGACAGAGCTGCCAGCACCTCCAGCCTCTATCAGAGCCCAAAAATGTCCATATGATCCCTGCTCCCCCCAAAAACTCCTTCTTGCTCTCGTTTACAGGCAGGAAAAGTTGGCAAGAGGGAAAAAGAAGGGGGGAAAACATAGGGGGGAAAAAAAGAGAAATGAGAGGAAAGAACAAAACTTTCAGAGGAAAACATGGAAGAGGTGAGATATGGGGTGCAATATTGCTGAGCCCACTGCACACAGCTGGGACCCCAAGGGGCACAGACACCAAATCTCATCCCCAGGGTGCCCAAACCCAGCTGGTGTGGGCCCATTTTCCAGCAAACCCTGCAAAGTCATTCCACAGCATCTCCTGGTCCCCTCCTGTCACTTCCAGGAGATGTTCCCAGGTTGCTCAGCCCTTACAAGTTGCAGCAGCACCTCTCGCACAGAGGTTAAGCAGCACCAGCCCCACAGTTTTAGGGCTGGTGCTGGATGTGGAGCACTCCCAGGCTGATCCCATTTCCATCTGCGGAGAAGGGAGGCTTTGCTGGGGCCAGGGTGACATCCCCCAGCTGGGATGCATTTCAGCAGCTCCAGAGATTGTTGCAGGCTAAAGAGCTGTTTCCCTGCACACAGCCGAGTGTAATTCCCAGGAAAACCAGCTGAGCCCTTGGCCTGCGCTCAAAACGCATTAGGAAATCAAAAGCATTTATTTTATCCAATTTTTCTCCTGAGCTTTGCTCAATACTCCCAGAACAAGGAGCTTTAATAGACTTTGGTTTGTGACTGCAGACACCTTCCATAGCTTGGCTCTTTCATCACGTGGGAACTTGGATATCCATCACCTGGAATCTGCTTAGTGCCGTGTTCTCCTTCCCTGCTCCTGGATTTGCATTTTTTCCACTGGTGCCTAATGAATTTAGAGTGTCAGGGCTTATAAATCATGAAATCCAGCAACTCTTTGCATCCCATTTTCTACCAAGAATCCCTAAGAGCCACAAAGTCATTTCAAACCTCTCAGGGCCGGTGTTGTGGGGATAAGCTCCATACTGAATGTTTGCTGTGCTCAAAATTGCTAAAATAGGGCAGATTTGGAGGAGGTGCAAGAAGGAAATTGTTCACCACATCAGATTGAACCTAAAATTTTGAACAAATTTGGCAAAAAATGTTCTGACAAGCCTTACTCCTTTTTGTCATTGCCCAGAAGAATGTTTGGTGTAGGGTTTTTTAAAAACTTTATGTTTTTTTTTAGTCTTAAAAGCAGCCAGCACAGCAGGGTTTACTCCTCACCCAAAAAACTCCTCTTGAATGTCAAAAGAACCATTTGCTTCTTCCAAAAATAAATAATTTGGCACAAAATCCCTTTGCTTTGACCTGGCCTGAACTTCCCTTGGCTCCATGCTGCTGCTTTCACTCCTGTGCCTTGGCCCAGAGTCCAGGGACGGCTGCAAACACCTCGGCTCAGCTGCCTTGGGATCCCATCCCTGACACCCAGCCTTGGAATGGGAGCTGGGAGCACCCAGATTTGGAGTGGGGGAGGAAATTTTGGTGGGTTCCCAGTGGCCCAAATGGGCAGGAGCATCCCGGCCCCACGTTCAGTCCCCCAAAACCTGCTCTTTCCTATTTCCTTAAAATCAATATCCCATTGCTTTCCAAAGCTGCCTCCCACTACTCCTACTGGGAGTAGATTATGATATTTTTGGATTTTTCCCACATAAACCTGGATCCTGAAGTATCAATGTTCAACCACACAGGTGACCCAACTACACTGGTAATTTTTTCCCGTATTTTGAGCCACCAAACACCTGGTTGCTTCCCAAAGCCAGCAGCTCTGTTTCAACACCCATAAATTCCAGGCTTGGAATTGGAACTGTGCTCACGCAGATCCTTGAAGTAAAATTTGGGTTGGGGTGGGGTAGTGGGGTTTCTTTTCCCCTCATTCTTTCTCAAAATCCTTATTCTTTAACAAACTTGTTGCCAGACAAAAGACAAATTTTCTTTGAATGTCAAAACAGGATGTTTTTGACAATCTCAGGACATTCAAACAGCATTTTTTTGTTTTCTTTTTGAAACAGGAAATTCGTCTGAGAGCCCTTTCCTGCAAATCGTTTCAGTTGTGACAAAACTGCCACTTTCTGACAGAGCTTGGGGTATTTTTTTAATACAAAAAGATGCCACATGTAAAAATTTTTGAAAACACATCCAGGTTACTCAGTCCTGAAGGTGGGTATGGATTTTTCTCAAAAAAAAGCTCATTAAAGGAGAATATGTGGAGACTGAGCAGTGGAGCAGCTGGGAATGGGAATGTTTGTCATGGATATTTGGAGATCAAGATCATTAAAGTGGATCTATCCATGGATTGCAGTCCAGGTGTCTCTGCTGCATCCCCAAATCCCCATTTGAGCACAAGGGGATGGAGGATGCTGGAGAAACATCAGTGAAACGGCGCTGCTGAGATGCTCAATTCTCAACAAGGAACCGAAACGAGATTTGCAAGTCAAACTCTCTTCCCCTCTCTGCACCCTGAGGGAAACGGGGCTCCAGCAGCTCCAGGGGGCCGAAAAGAGGGTGGGGAGTTCATGGTGGGTGACAGGGGAGGAGCTGGTGGGGTCTGAGTGGTGGAAAATGCTTTGGAAAGTCCTGGGTGTTTTCCAGGGTCAGTGTCTGGATCCTGCACAGAACCTGGGAGCTGTTCTGGAGCCCTGCCCTGCCCAGGAGTTGAGCCTGAGCTGTGGAGGGGATTGCAGCGGGGGAAACCCAACCCTGCCACCACTAAAATGGACCTGGGGCTCTGCATCCCTGGATCTCCTCAGGTGAGCCTGGATGCATTAATGAAGTATTCCAGGAGCTCTCCCCTTCTCTCAGCCTGGCTTTGGCAGCCTCCAATACAGGGGTGGGGAAAACAACCTGGTTTACACTCAGGCACAGATACTCCAGGACTTTTTTATTTTCTTAGAGATGGAATCACCTCATCCCAGCCTGGCTTAAAATCATCAGCTCCTTGTGGGACCAACTCATCCCAGCCTGGCTTAAAACCGTCACCTTCTAGGACCAGCTCATCCCAGCTTGGCTTTAAACCATCACCTTCTAGGACCAGCTCATCCCAGCTTGGCTTTAAACCATCAGCTCCTTGTAGGACCAGCTCATCCCAGCCTGGCCTCAGACTTGTCTGGGTCTCATCCAGTCCTCAGCAGGATGAGCACCCCGTGCCCCAAATGTCAAAAGAGCAGCTGCTGGGTTGAGATGGCTCCTCCAAAGGCTTCTAAACACACCCTGCACATTGCATGGCAAAGCTCTGGGGTGTCTCCATGAGATCCCAGCTCTGTCAAAGCTCAGGGAGCACCAACGAGCCTGGTGGGGACAGCAGGACCACAAATAAGTGAGAAAGGTGCAATCACCATCAAGCCCCATCTGGTTTCTGTATTGTTGGGTGGTCTGGAAGTTCTGGGATTAATGGGATCCATCCACAGTTCTTTGCATTCCTCCTCTCTGTTTTGGCCAGGCTTCTGTGAGGACTTGCAGGAGAAGTCAGAATATCAATATCAGAAGGAATGTAAGGAATATTCATTCCTTTTGTCAAGGAGACCCAGAGAAAGGCAGGAGGAATTAAGCAAATGTAAGATCATGACAGGAAGTTGTGTCCTGCTTGTTCCAGTTGTATTTCTGTCACCCAGAGCAGGGAGAGGAGGGATTTGGCTCCTCATCATTGTACTGGGTACAAGCAAAGAGCAACAGCAGCACGAGGGCTCTGCCAGGAAAGACCAAAATCTTCTGCTTGATCTGCAAGGAAGACAAGAGCAGTTTCACTGGAATTTCAGAAAAAGGAGAACACTGCAGTGAGAATAACTTGATTTTTTTGTTATTTTACAGCCCAGATTAGCAGGACTGTGGTGCTGGAATTGATGTTCTCCTCCCTCCCCTTCCCTCAGACCCACTTGGCACTGGGATGGATCAGTGTTCCAGCACTGCCCATCAGAAATGTTCCACAGGAGTGCAAGGCACCAATGAAATTGTTCCCCAGAGGGCATTTTCAGACTCGTCTTTCATCTAATTTGATTAACTTGGCTCATTTCCTGCTCTCCCTGTGATCCCACTGATGAGATGTGCAATCCCAGGTTTATGGTGCCCTGGTTGGGATCACTCAGTGACAGGAGGGAGCATTGCAGGCACAACAGCTCCAGCCTGGCCCGGTGGATTCTGCCTCCTCTGGGTCCCTCAAGCTCTGTCTCTGCACCGAAGTGTTGGGAGATCATGGAATCACAGAATCCCAGGCTGGTCTGGGTTGGAAGGGACCTCAAAGCTCAGCCAGTCCCACCCCTGCCATGGCAGGGACACCTCCCACTGTCCCAGGCTGCTCCAAGCCCTGTCCAACCTGCCTTGGGCACTGCCAGGGATCCAGGGGCAGCCACAGCTGCTCTGGGAATTCCATCTCACGCCCTCCCCACCCTCAAAGGGAAGAATTCCTTCCCAAAATCCCGTCTATCCCTGCCCTCTGTCCATGGGGACCCATTCTCTGTCATGTCCCCACCACTTTATGGGGTGGCCCAAGGAGCCACGAGCAGGCTGGGGACTCCTGGGCCACTGCAGAACACCTCAGGGCCTTGGGGCTGCAGGTACTGGGCAGGGCCCGACCTGCTGTGCCTGTGCACAGGAATGTCCTGGAGTGATCCCAGATTTCCTCCTGCTGCCTTTTGGGGGTCCCAGCTTTGCCCCACTCCTGATGTGAAGGATGCAAGTCAGGGCTGTGTGCTCTCACCCCGTTGTCTGCTCTTTAAACAATGTTAACACCAAAAATAAATCCTCTGGAAGAGCTTGATTTTGTTCAGCTTCTTTCCTGGCAGTGCTCCTAAAACATCCAGGAGTTTTCACAGAGCTCTTTAGGATAATATTTGACACTTCCATCACTCCTTTCATCCTGAAGTGCTTTTCCAACCTGAGACCACCACTTCAGTCCAACTGTTCATTGGAATAGTGGGTTTTTTCCCTAAAAACCAAATCCTACATCATCCTGGGAGCCCTGTGCATCCTCCATCCCCATGGAATCAGTGAGGGCTCAGCACACTGCTCATCCACGAGGGAATGAATTATTGGGATGATGCCACTGAAAGGGAGCACTGGGAAGTGGTCCTGCTTTGGGAAAAAGTGGTGGTCTTTGGGGAAAAAAAAAAAAAACAAAAAACAAACAAAACCACAAAAAACATGTACAGAGTGTAGAGGACACTGAACTTGGCTTCAATCCTGCTGGAGCACTGGCTGTTGCTGCTGCTAACACCCAAAGCAGGACAAGCACATCCCAGAGTGAATTCCTACACAGCTCTACCTTCAGAACCACCTTGGATCCAGACAGAGCGATGCTTTCCAGCCTCTGGGAACAGTTTTAAGGGTGAAGGAGCTCCCAGCCCTCAGCGTGCCCCAGCACACAATGCAGGGACAGGCTGAGGGCACCACAGCATCTCCCTCGCCATCTCCAGAGGACAAATTTACCCTGGACTGGGATTTTCCATCTATCTGCCCTTGGCCAGACCCCAGACACTTAAACCCCTCTTCCTGCCACACTGTGGGGGAGATGGAGATACTCACCCCATTCCAACAGGGCCTGTTTATTGATAAACTGATAACAAACACCTGGGATAAATAAATTCCACCCCTGAACCCACAGTGAAACCCAGCACTGGTGTGAAAACCCCAGAACAGGGCTGGGGCACAGCAGCCACACCAAGAGGGTTCAGTGCCAAGGATCCCATTCAGAGGTTGTCCTTGGACTTGATCCTTCCAGGCAGGGATTTAATGTGCTGTTTTCCTTTAAACTGACACAAAGAGGTGATTGGCCCCCACATCCTTGCCAGGAAAAATGAAACAAATTTGGAAAAAATTAGCCAGGAGCTTGTTGCAGGAGCTCTCCTCCCTCCTGCAGACATGCAGGTGTTGCCTGGCCCTGGAAGATGTCAGGAGTGTGGCAGTGAGGTGTGGCTGATGTTAAACAGGCCAGGACTGGTGGGTTTGATTGGAAGAATGCAAATGGATTGAAATGGAGATGAGGGTGTGTGGCTGAGGGGGAGCAGCACAGGGTGGGCAGGCCCTGGCACAGGTTTTCCAGAGCAGCTGTGGCTGCTTCATCCCTGGAAATGTTCAAGGCCAGGTTGGACGGAGCTTGGAGCAACCTGGGATAGTAGAAGGTGTCCCTGCCCGTGGCAGGGGCATGGAATGAAATGAGCTGTAAGGATCCTTCCAATCCAAGCCATTCTGGGATTCTAGGATTCTATGGCATTATTCCCTCCATTACTGAGACCAGCAATCTCCCTGCTCCCCAAAATCTGCCCCTGCCTCGTCGGCTCAGATGCTGGAAGAGGGAGCATGGTCTGGGCAGGGTGGCCAGAGCTGGAAAGGCACTGGAGAAGGATGGAGGGCATTTGGAGAAGAATGGAAGCTGGAGAAAGAGGGCACTTGGAGAAGTATGGAATGATGGAGAAGGATGGAATGATGGAGGATGAAATGATGCAGAAGGATGGAACAATGCAGAAGGACGAAATGGTGGAGGGGCTGGAACAATGGAAAGGATGAGATGATGGAGAGGATGGAATGATGGAGGGGATGGAATGATGCAGAAGGATGGAATGATGGAGGATGGAATGCTGCAGAAGGATAGAACAATACAGAAGGATGGAATGGTGGAGGGGCTGGAACAATGGAAAGGATGGGATGATGGAGAGGATGGGATGATGCAGAGGATGGGATGATGGAGAAGGATGGAATGATCCAGAAGGATGGGATGATGGAGAAGGATGGAATGATGCAGAGGATGGGATGATGCAGAGGATGGGATGATGCAGAGGATGGGGTGATGGAGAAGGATGGGATGATGCAGAAGAATGGGATGATGGAGAAGGATGGGGTTATGCAGAAGGATGGAATGATGGAGAGGATGGAATGATAGCGAGGATGGAAAGATCCAGAAGGATGGGATGATGGAGAGGATGGGATGATGCAGGAGGGTGGGATGATGCAGGAGGGTGGGATGATGGAGAAGGATGGAATGATGCAGAAGGATGGGATGATGCAGGATGGTGGCAGCTCCACGCTAATGAGGCTGGCTACAGGAATGTGCAGTGCCGGGAGCTGCCTGGGCAGGAGTTAAAGGGGCAGTAATTACCTGATTACTGCCTAATTAAGGACAATTGAAATGGATAAGCCAGGCTCAGAAAAACCCAAGTAGTTTCTAGGGAGACCAAACCCTGAGATCTCCACCGGAGTGGGAAAGGGAGGCTGCAGCTCCTTGCTGAGCCGGGCTGGGGAGGATGATTCCATTTCTGACTCAGGATCCCCAGATTTGGCTCATCCTGGAGCCATCCCTCGGGATGCCCTCATCCCACAAACCCAGCTAAAGCCAAGCAACAGCTTGGTGCAGCACGCTCGGAGAAGAGGGAAGACAAATGGCATTTGCTGCCCCCGACCCCCGGTGGTTCCTTCTCCCCCGCGGCACGGGCGTTTTCCAGCCGCCGCGGCTTCCAGCACGTCTCGCAGGGCCTGGCAGAGCTGGAAAATTATGTTTAATGTGTCTGCCTGGAAAAGAGGTGATTAATTTGTCTGGGGGCATGGAAGTGCTGCTCGTGTTTGTGGCCGTGGAGCTGCTTTCATCCAGGGAGGTGCAGGTGAAGCTGTGGACACCCAGGAGTTGGGGCAGTATTTATTTGCTTTATTGAATAAATATATTTATTCCTTAAGCCTTGGCTGACCTCTTGCATGAATGGGTGCCCTGTTGGGAAAAACCATCCCACCCAGAGCAGGGCAGCCAGGGATGCGGTGGGAATGCCGTGCCAAGGGGAAGGGCAGGGCCCGGCATCTCGGCACAACAAGAAACGCCGGGATGGAGGAAGGCCTGCGGAGATTATTCCCCCAGCACACAGCTGGGGTATTTCTGCTGCCGCCAGATAAAAGGCTGGAAGTTATCCAGGCCGGCTGCAGCAGGGACAGTTTCCTGCAGACAGGTGAAACGCTGAGCACGGGGCTGAAGCGAGGGCAGGCGGCCCTGGGGAATATCCCAGCCCCGCTCCGGGCTGCAGCCCCGGTCCCCGGCACGGGCGGGCGGGAGGGTCGCGCCGGGCCGATAACAGCCCCGGAAACCCATCAGAGACACCCGGGCGGCCTCTGCCTCTCGTCACAATTCCCTGCCAAGGAGGCTCCTGCACCTTGTCAGCCTCCTGGTAATGGGAACCAGCTGCCCGTGGGGGATGGAGAGCGGGGCTGAGAGCGGGGGAGGCACCGCTCAGAATTCCTGCTCCTTGCCCGCAGCTCCGGCGGGAGGGAGGGATGGGATGGGGATGGGGATAGGGATGGAATAGGAATGGGAATGGGGATGAGAATGGAGATGGGGATGGGGATGAGGATGGGGATGGGGATGGGGATGGAGTAGGAATGGGAATGGGAATGGGATGGGATGGGGATGGGGATGGAATAGGAATGGGAATGGGAATGGGGATGGAGATGGGGATGGGGATGGGGATGGGGATGGGAATGGGAATGGGGATGGGGATGGGAATGGGGATGGGGATGGGGATGGGAATGGGGATGGGGATGAGAATGGGATATGGATGGAATGGGAATGGGAACAGGGATGGGAATGGGAATGGGAATGGGAATGGGAACAGGGATGGGGATGGGAATGGGGATGGGGATTGGGATGGGGATGGAGATGGAGATGGAGATGGGGATGGAGATGTGGATGGGAATGGGAATGGAAATGGAATGGGGGTGAGACTGGGAATGGGGATGGGGGATGGAGATGAGAATGGGGATGGGGATGGGGGACAGGGATGGGTGCGGGGAACGCTGTGCTCCAGGATGGTTTGGATGAATTGAGATGCGAGATCTCTGAAGGCTGCTCTTAGAATATCGGGTTTATTAGGGATGGTGAAAGGTCTTGCTTGGAGCTGCCAGACGCAGCAGTGGCAAGGCCTGAGGGACTGGGGGAGGGGAGAGACAAGGGGTAGAGAGGATGCTCTAGGAGAGGGTGGAATTTCCAAGAGAGTGGGGGTTCCAAAAGAGGGGGAGTTCCAAGAATGTGTTTGGCCCCTCAGAGACCCCTTATCAGGGGGCTCCAAGGTGAGCTGGAACAGGACTTGGGCCAATGGGGTCACAGACACCTGATGCTTCAGGGGAGGGTTAAAGGTGTGGGATGAACCATACATTGGGGTGAGATCCAACAGTCCATTTGACCTTTGGACTTATCTGTAGGTAAGGGTATTGTCCAGCCAGTAGGGGGGATTATCTTCATCCTGGCTGTACTATTGTGAATCTT